TTTAACAGCTTGCAAAATTACAAAAATAGCTTAAAGACAGTGAAAGGACAATATAGATACAAAGAAGCACTACATAAGATACTCACATTTTTTTAATGTCAGTGTCAAAGTCTTTCACAATTACTCCTGCTACATTCCACATAGAAGTCTAGGAAAGGGATACATACATACACACATATGTTCACATATGTGCATTTATACATACATATACATACATACATACATACATACATACACACATCTCCTTCTTTTGTGTGGAAATAAAGCTGTTTGATCCTGCCTAGCTCTTCTGGTTAAAAGCCATATTCAGATAATTCAAACCATTGATGTTTTGTTAAAGACTGGGCAACAATGAGAACCCAAGAGCCAAATGAGGTCTAGAGGATTATACCCCTTAATAGGTGAGAAAGAAGTGACTCATGTTGGCAATTTTACGGAAGAATAAATGTGTTTTAGGGGAGGTCATGGACTCACAAAGATAATAGACTCAAACAGTTTGTTTAGGCTTTGAGTATTTGGTTTTTTCTTTGGTTGATGAAATAACATGGTGGAAGCCAACTATGTTTCCTTTTGCTAGAGCCCATCTTTGTGTAAATAAAGGGTTTTCAAAGAAGCTCCTCTTCCAGCTTTGGCTGATTCCAACATCCTGAAGCCTGAGGCACCATATTTTATGGTGTCTTCAATCTCAACTCAGAAGTGAACCATAATTTATTGTAATAATTTATTAGGGATTATCATATGTAAGTCAGTTGTCTCCATGCTGGAGAAAAGCAAAAAACACATTGTTATGAAAAAAAAAAGAAAGGAGAACTGAATGGAGTAAGTGTGGTACATCTGTCAACAAACATGACCCTTGTTGCATGTGACCCTGGGGATACCTTGGATAGGGAGGCACCATGTGACTCACTTAGTAGGCTGGTACAGATATGTTTCCTTGGCCTGGGGCTGTGTCTCTTCACATTGTCATTACTTACTTGTCAATATTCATATGTAAACATCAAGCTATTAAAAGTTCAGGAGACTTTAGAATTGTAATTACACAATTCAGCTATCTGCCCACTCTCAGGCCCTAGGGGATGCCCTTCTTTACCCTTTGAAAGGCTAAGACCCCTTTATAATTGTGCTTTTCTTGTAACTATGCACCTTTACAGAGTAGTTGGGAGTTCAAGTGATTTCCTTTCATTAAAGTGTCATTTTAATTTATGCCAAATTGGAGGCAGGGAAGGATTAAAGGATTTGTTGTAGAAGGCATGGTCGAGCCAGATTTGGAATTCCATGGTTTCACCATGAGGAATGTGATCTCCCATGTTGGTCTTATTCTGTATCACTTCATGAAGAGAGGGCCAAAGTAGAAATGTAGACAGTGAAATGAAGAGTATAAATGTAGACAGGGATTAGCAAATGCAGAGATAGAGTTCCTTTGGGAGTACACCAGGGTGAAAGTGTATATTAGTATACAACATTAAACTAGGTTTTAAGGGGAAAAAAAAGAATAGATCTTTTTGAAACATAATCACTACCCATACAAAGGGTACTTTTTTATTCCCCTGAGTCAGATTTTAGCCCTATTGGCAGGAAAGCTTGGCTATGATAAAAATCAGGGCTTAATATTTTTGGAGGAAACGTGACATGAATTTTATATTAAACTCATATGTGAAGGAAAAGAAGATGTATTAAATCAGAAGTCATGGCATATGTGGCTTGCCAGAAAGTCCATTAAAGAGTTCACCCAGAAAGGTTGAATTTTTTAAATTTCCTTCCAGAGTATGTTTTATTCACCACTGTATCTTCTTCGCCAGGTATAGAACCAACACAGCAGCATCACTACGCAATAAGCAGGACTCCAGTTAGGTTTTGAGACCAGTGTTCCACACAGTACTTATTACATCATTTTGCAAATGAAGCAGATCATTAATTGTTCTTGGCCTTAAATTTGTCCTCTCTGAAGGAGAGCATACTAAGTGGGGGGTTTGTGTTGGTTTTCAGCACCGAGTTCCAAGCCGTGTAAGGCAATTCATCTACTTGTAGAAACCAAACAAGTTTGGTAATAACCCAGGTATGTTCTTAGCCATCTTTTTACCTGTTGTGTTTATTTCAAGACAAGGTCTCACTAAATTGTCCAGACTGGCTTGAAACTCACTCTGTAGCTCAGGCAGGCCTTGAACTTGTGATTGTTTTGCTCCCATCTGCCAAAATAGCTGGGAATACAAGCTTTTGTGAGTAAGCTGAGTGCCAAATGATTTACTAAGGATCCTTGTAGTTTTAAAATTCTGACTCCAACATCTCAAAAGAAAAATATGTTCATATTGTGTGTGGTGTTTGGTTGTGTCTTTGAAACTTTCCTGCATTAAGGGTTGACTGATTATTTTCTTGCATCCCAGTAAAGTGCCAATAGGAACTCAGAGCATGATTGAAAATGAGAAGAGACACTGCTCAAGCTTCTTTTTGGCTTTTTGC